TTTCGCCTTGTTGCAGATGTTGCGCTCTTCGTAACCGAGGGTTCTGTCTCATTTCCGCTTCGAAACTCACGTGAGTTTTTTTCGTACATTTTTGTTTGCGACTTCGTCCGGAGCTCCAAAAGCGTGGCCTGCGTGTTATACTCCTGACTTTCTGAAACCATGCTGTTTGCTATCCCGCGCTTTGCGCTTTCTGTGTTCTTCTGTCTGTGCCGTTTTCCGTGATGTGCTCTGCTTGTTTTTTGGCGGGGAGGGGTGCGGCGGGGGGTGGCCGGGGAGCTTAATAACGTTCCGTTTCGCGGGCAGCCTTAGGCTGCAATCCTAAAGTCAATTAAGAGGAAACGAACATGTAACGAACGAAACGACAGCAGGAGGACCCTGCTGGGCCAATTGCAGAAGCAGTAACAAGACTAAGGGCGGCATACGGCAGCAGCAGTAGTACCACAAAGTCGGCATAATCCGCACAACATCAAACACCTCGTGCATAAAATACACCACGTCAATCGCAAGAGCAGCAAGTCATCAACACACAAAACAAGGTCAGTACACACACTATACAAAACCCCTGCCAATAAAAGTTATTTCCCAATACCTAAAACCACTTAACCCAACAAAACGACACACAACCACCCCGGAAAATGAGGTCCATAGCTTTAGGGCTTGCGTCGGTGTGAGGCCCAGGGTCTGTGGATGGACCGGCTTTTTCCCGTGAGGTTTCCCTAGCCTCCCAGGTACCTACTATATAGGGCCCCAGGAGCTCTAGTACCCTATATAGTAGGTACCTGGGGGGTTAGGGTTTAGGACTCGGGTTGAAGTTACGAATTCTCAGCTGTGCGGGGGTTTACCTATGCTGCTTATCACGCTACCTAAGGCTCTGGTGTCGATGATGCTCTCGTAACAGACGCGGTATGGTCCCGGATAAAATGATCCCATGCTCTCAGCACCGCAAGAAATCTGGAAGTGTACTGTTGAGAGGGGAAGGGGGTGCCCCGACTTGGAACCAACTTCTGGAACACCGATCGAATCCTGAACATGGTGTAAGAATTCACAGACAGCGGAAGGGGAGGAGGGTACTTGTACAGATATGCCCTCGAGCCCGCATTTTCAATCAAACATCCCCATGATGAAAACCCCCAGTCGACACCCACAAATGTTCAAAAGGAGCTCGGCATACAGACACTAACGACCCAGATTTATACCCTACTTCATGTTGCCATGTCGGTAGAATCTCACAGATAGAACTTGCTCGTGGGAGCTGCTTTGCAGGTTCGTTTAGGCAGACTCTGTACAGGGCTGAGTGTTTGGCGTTCAGAGTTCACAAGGTTTTGGGTTTGGGCTTAGGGTAAGCTTAGTTAGGCGCCTCGAGTGACAAACACACGACCCATAAACACTCAAGCAGCTACAGAAGGAGTCGGATACTTGAAATAATCGTATCTCACTAAAGCCTCCAGCAAGGGGGAAAGGCGCCCCATGTTTCACGTTCCAACTTGAATGCCTCTATAGACTGCATAAGCCCCTAAACTCTCTACAGCCCCTGCATCATGTTGGGCCGGGAGCCCACCCGTCCCATCTCAAGGCACTCCTTCGTGTAAACCCCTTCTCAATGGGGCAAATGTTACATTCGGGTTTCGCATAAACACTGGATCTGGGTTTCCGAGAACTGAGGATCCTTTTCAAAAGGATGTCCTCTGGGCAAGTCTCCTTTGTAGTTCTGCCTTGTCAGTAAGGACATACTGACAGAAGTCAGTATATACGGCAATACACTCCAAAGCCCTACGTGATTATTCAAAAGGCTGCATTATCTCAAATCCTCGATCTTCGGAACCCCCAGGTGCTCCTCTAGCCGCCTTAGCATGCTTTAGCTTGTCTTGGCGCCCTCACTCTCATTCAGCGTGGGCTTCAATACGCCCTGAGTCTTCCACGAGTGGGTCTTCGCCGAGTGGGGTGCAGATTTCCATCAAACGGCCGAAACCCTAAACCCAAAGCCTAGCTTAACCCCACATGACCCACCGGTTTCCGGACTCATATGGGTAGCTCTCTAAATTAACCTCCCTGTTGGGAGTCCTTGTTGTTTTTAAACCAGGGTGCCGTGCTACACTGGGGGACCGAAAAAGGGACCAAAACTTAGAGATCCACCAAAAAAACAGGAACCCCGAAACTAAAGGCTCAGCTTACAACTGTGCTTGGCAAGGACCTTTGGGCATGGCACAAGCGAGTCAAACAGAAAGCCGTGCATGGACCCTTGGTGGTCATATTCAGGAGGGTTTAGGGATTGGGGTTTAGGGTTTGGGGTTTAGGGCTGAGGGCCTGCATGGACCCTTGCTAACAACGTTTGGGGTTTAGGGTCAGCGGGCTTCGATGACTCAGGGTGTAGTACAACTGGTATCCGCTGTCCAAAATGGCAGAATTGAAACTCACAGATCCTCTAGACACGGTAAGCAGCGGAGAATTCGAGAAACAAACTGTAGTTTAGAGCCACCGAAGTCTCTAAAAACCCCGAACCATGACCCCTCAACCCTAAACCCTGAACCCTAAACTCGGGTTTAGGGTTTAGGGGTTTAGGGTTTAGGGTTAAACCCGGGCTCAGGATTTAGGGTTCTCAACCCTAAACCGAACCGTAACCCTGAACCCTAAACCCTGGCCCCGAACCCCACTTCAGATTCGGTTTCCGCCAGGACACTTCCAAGCCCGGCGTGACCATCCGCCTCAGCTGAAGCATGTTTAAAAGCCCTCTAAAGCCCTAAAGGCGAACCGGTCTAGGGTTTAATATAGAAGACTGAATAAATACCCAAAACTAGTGGTTTCCTTTTTATAAGTTTTCAGAGCCCCAAAACCCTATTCTACCATTAAGGCCCCTATCTCAGGGGTGTAGGGTTTAGGGTACTTTAGGGACCCTTGAAGTTTCTGGCTTCAGGGGCCTACGCCCCGAAACCCTAAACACAACAGACCCTTAAGGGTTTAGGGCTTAGGGTGTAGGGCTCAGCGTTTAGGGTTGTAGGGCTTCGGGTTTAGGGTTTAGGGGTTTAGGGCCCTAAGTACAAAATAGGTCCTGAAGCGAAACACCATAAACACAAACCTTGAAGCCTGATTCGATACACCATACATGCAAACCTCTACACTGAAAAAAGGAATTGGTCAATACCCCGTAAGTTTACAAAGGGGCTTAGCAATCGAACCTGGAGTGTGTGATGGAGGTTGTGGGTACGGAAACCCGGCCAAACTACCCTCACGGCATCATCTGGCAAGATTCTTCTGTTGCCACGTGGAGTGAAGTTGATTGTAGCCGGCGTTGGTGAAGATGTCTTGCCTGGGTACGGGGACTCCAGGCAAGGGGCTGGAATTGTTTTCTTTGGCTTTCCCTGCGCTGCACCTGTCGATAGCCGTTTATTTCAAGAACAAGGACTTCCAGCAGGAACGGCACCCCGGCTTAATAGGAGCGTCCTAAAGTAAAAGAGCACTGTTAGCTTCTACTACCGAGGTCCTGCTTTTACCGGATTCAGAAGCACTTAGACAGTACTTGGGGATTCCAGGCTCTTTTTCAGTCAGGACGCTCAGTGTGTATATGTATGCATACACACATAGTGTTACATATACACATATTCACACACACACATATATATATATATATATATATGTATACACAAATGACTATATCATGTTATATTATACCATGTCAGTTGGTTTTACGTTATACCGCATCGTATTATACAACACAACACTATATTACACGATACCATGCCATACCATACTGTACTATAGGTTCAAAACCATGTACATTCCTTGAACTATGTGAAACTACTCATGTTTATGTATACAATGTAAACATACGTGAAAATATGAACAAACAAATTTATATACATACATGTGTACATAATGTATCTATATATATATATATGTACATATGTAGCTATGTACACACACGCGTGTATATGTATATATATATATAGGTGTATATATTAGGTGCACTATATTTTGTATTATACCATGATATATTCTGATATAACACCATCTAGTGTAATCTAGTCTGACAGAATGTATTATTATACGTCCATTACTTTCGTTAACTGTATAACCAAATAATGATGTACATACATCAACACACACACACACATATATATATATATATACATATATGCATGTATAAATGTACAGACACAGCACTGCTTAAGTTTTCGTTGATTTAGTGTGTCCCATGTTTTCCTGGTAGAAGGGCTTGGGAGGTTGTATCACTCGACGGCTTTGATGAAGAGGCGTAGATATTTAGAGTAGGTTTAGGGTTTAGGGTTTAGGGTGTATAGGTGTAACATTAAAAAAGTGCCAGGTCTGCCACTACTCTGGCTTGTGGCCCGTATTCCATCATGGTGGTACATGTGGCCCCTCTGGGATTGCAACTTATTCAGGCATCTTGTTTAAACCCTCAACCCCCTAAACACTAAACCCTAAATTTACAAATTAATTAAACTCTAGGCCCCCTAAACCCTAAATCCTAAGTTTACAAGTTGATTAAACCCTAAACCCCCTAAACCC